CGTGCTTGTCTTGAGCGTGGGCCCTGCCGGGTCCTTGCTGCCGCTCCGCGGGGTGTTAAAGCATAATGTCGGGAGCGAGAGCCTGCGGGAGGTAGCGGGGTACTGGCTAAGGTCAGGTGTCAGTATTTTCCCGTCAAAACTGGTCAATGCATGCTGGAGGCGGTTTGGTGGCTGCAGGTGGTCCGGTCTAACGATCTGCATCTTTCCGGTGCAGGTTGTGACTGGAAAAGTTTGAAGAGTGCAGCTCTTTTTTTTTTTTAACTGCTGAATAACCCTGTTACCAGTAATACCGTGTAGCATCTGTCAATAGTTTGTCTGCAAACCTCCACATAGAAGTTTCCATTGTGTCTATGCACGTTCACTATAACTGCTGTATACACTCTTGCTGGATAAAATTGCACTGTATACACTCTTGCTGGATAAACTCTTTCATTAAAAGGGATAACTGCTAATCCACTGCTTCCAAATTTGGCTACCTACTTATGCAACCCATTTGTGCAAGTGTCCCGTGTAACTGGAGGCTATGGAAACCCTGCCTGGTGATATCTGGATGACTTCTTAACTTCGGCAGCGTTGTTAATTAGTTTGTCGTTACCCTGTTAAAAGGGGGGAAAAAAAATCAAGGTCACGCATTTATGGTACAGTCCCAAAGTGAGCGCTAGATTATTCACGGATGCCTGAACACCAGCTGTTAACCTGATTTTTGCATGCATTTGTGTGCTTTCCAAACAAAATCTGAAGGATAGAGAAGACACAGATTCCATGATGCAAATTCAGTAAATGTTATATTCAAGCATATAATTAAAGAATTACTAAAAAAGAAGCTGCAGAAGACATTTCTGGCTTGCCGCATGGGAATTCTGCAGAAGTTAGGGCCTTGCTAAGTTCAATCAAACTTTGGCAGAGTGCACTCAATTTTCAGCATGGCCTTTATTTGGCAGATTTGCTTGTCTATGATGTGTTGCTTCACGGCCTCTGCAGAAAGCAGGATAAATGGTATAACGAGGCCAGTGGCCTCATACCGTGACAACTGTCAGATCCCAAGGAGTCTCGCTGTCTCTTACAGTTACATGGACGTGGATTTCTCCTCCTGTGAGAAGATTTGGAAGAGTAGAAGCATACCACTCTTGGGTGACAACAGGCAACAGCTCTAAGATGAGAACCAAATGCTTTTGCAGTCCATGGTTTTTATATTTTGGTGATTGCTGTTTTGTAATGTGACAACTGGTACAGTCCAATGGCTTGCCTATACAGAACACAGTAAAGAAAAAGGGTGTATGCCATGTGCTGTCCGTACATGGAGTGGCTGTAGTGCTGTCAGTATCTGCTTTCTGGAAGGTAGATAAGCCACAAATTCCAAGCTTCATCCTCAGAAATAGTGAAAGAAGTAGTTGAGGAAATCTGTTAAAGATGCTGATAATGCTGAGGAAGGATCAGAAAGAACAAGGAGAAAAATCGGAATAGCCATAAAGGATGATAACCACAGAAAGGCATGAAGCAATGAGACAGAGAAGGTAAGTGGATCTTTAGGTCTGATGTTTTTAAAATGTTTCCTGGAAAGATTATTGGTTCCTTACAAAACCTAGATGAGCAGTCTGCCTGTCTCATCTTTGTTGTCTGCTGTTTTTCCCTGACACCCTTAGCATGTAGCTTCCTATTTCAGTCTTTCTTCATTCTCTGCTGCCTACCATCTCTGGACATTGTGCTTGATTAATGATTGATCACAAAACCACAGAATTGATAACAAAAGGTTGAAAAAAGCCTGTTGCCAGCATGTCTCATTAATAACTAAGTAAAATATATTGGACTCAAGGTTTCTGAAACAAGTTCCTTCTTGTATTAGGACCCATTTACTGCAAATGACAGTTCATAGGCCTTTTGCAAGCAAATTTTCAAGATACTCTACAGTGAAAATGAATTTTGTTGTGATTTTCTCAACTTGAACAGCTGTCAAGAAAAACCCACAGGTAGCACAGATACTGATGGGTCAAGACTAAACAGCGTATGCAGCACGAAAGAAGAGCGTGCAAGTTTATGTGGAGCTCGTTTGCATCATGACTGATGTTGGCTGTAACTACCGTCCCACTTTGACCAAAAAAAAAAAAAAAAAAGACTTTTTCATGCTTTGTTCTGACTGACACTATTGCAGTCTGTTCTAATTGTAGTGCCACCTAGTGGGTTGGGTTTTTTTTTAAACTCAGCTAATGAGTATTCAGCATCTGTTGCTTGACCTGGTTGGCAGTAACAGATGTTCAGTAACAAGCATAGTTGTGTTCTTGAGCAGTCCTCTCCATATCAAGCGGTCTTTTGCTCTTCCCATAAATACCAGGTTTGAATATGATTTGATGATAAGTAATGCTTATTCTGAATTCTAAAACATTAACCAGCTGCTGCTTTTCAACTTGATGTGGTTAAAAGTGACTCTAGCCTCTAGTTTTTGTGGACTAGTGATAGAATCAGGTAGTCTGGATATAATTTCCAGTTCCTCTAGTGATTCACTTTGTGGTCTTGTGCAGTTCTTTAACCTCATTTCCACATTTCTACAACTACAAATTAAGGGTAGTAATCTTTCAGTACCTTACAAGAAAGTTGTTTAGAGAGCATGAAGGAATTTCTGTGATATTTTGAAAATTCAAAATGTCAACTGAATGATAAGTCTCTTTTTTATTATTAACATTGCACTCATAGAGAGACTTGTAATCCTTCTAGATGAAAAATGCCGTAAATGCAAGATTTGTGCTTGAAAAGTTAAATGAAAAATTAAGGCATTTCTGTTTCTCTAAAAAAAGAAAGTGTAGTTCTGTCTCCTAATGCTAAGATATAGTCTATTGATATTCGGCCAGCAAACAGAATGCCATTACATTTGTGTTTCAAATATGAACTGTATTATTAATGTTTTGAGGGTAAAAGCAAAAGGGTATTGTATCTTCTCCGATCAGATACGTTACATGTCATGCTAGTCAGAACCAAATATTGAGCTTTGGTGGGAGCAAGTGGAAAAAAAAATGGCAAAAGATATCTTTGTAAATATTCTAGCAGTGACCTTTCAGGCCAGTTACCAGGAAATACCTAAATCAAATTAAAAAGTGTTAATTTAGCTGTAAGACTGTTACTGAACTATTCAGCACTGAAGACAAACTTGTTATTTATACCTGTGCTCTTTAGAAAAGATTGCAGATAAGACCACTTAGCCATAGTATTCCGTAGTCCATTGTGGGAAGATGTCTCGTATAGAATTAAGGGTCTGATCGTTGTGTATAAAATAATAAAAAAAATTCCTCTGTAGGGATGATTGTGACTGAGGGTCAGCTACACCCTGGATCCATTTCAGAGAGAGGACAATAAAGATTAAATCATTACTTGAATCCAGAAACTTTAAATCCTGAAATGCAGGCTGGGGCGTGTGGGGAGGTAACTTTACTTTCTTTTAATTAGACCAGTATTAAGACGGTTAATCTCTACGTTCAGAATTTATAATTTTTAATGCAAACATTTTAAGAAATCTCTCCCAAGAGAGAATGTGTAATACCTACTTTCTGCCTAGTTTCTCCTTAGGCTGAAAATACAGAATCGGACATCTTGCTCTGATTATAGAGAGTACCCTTTGAGTTCCCATAGCTTTTTGCTAACTAGTTTGAAAGGTACATTTTGTAGCTATCTGTTGCCTGGAGAATGTT